TAGTGAAGCGGAGCCCACCACTGATCGTCCTGACTGCCAAGGCTGCAGGCAGTAGCAACAGGGAAGGACTGGACCGATGACAGAGACAAATACATATCAAACTTCGTCATCTGGGGCGCTGGAAAAAGGGAATTAAGTTTCTTATCTGCGAACTGGAGTTCTAACCGAAGGCACCGATTGTGTCGAATGTTCGCTGGAAGTTTTTTGGGTCGTGATTCGGTGACGCGACTTCACAGCATCCAGGAGAAGCTAAACCCTTAGCCTCTGGGCTAACGAAACCGGGGGAGATTAATCATTTCAGTAGAGCGCTGCTGCCCACTTTCAGGGGTTTAAAACTGTTTTAGGCCGAGTGAAATACACGGCGACGAAATTTTCGACATTTGTACCCAATAGGATATTATTTAGATTATTATTTAAGGTTATTTCTCCTGTGTTTCTACATGAAATAGTGCTTTAGATTAGCTTATGCTAATACGGCTAAAAGTGTTTCCACGTCACCTAACTTTTTCACTACATCTCTGGAAATTGTAGGATTTTATTTTTTGGCGACTTTAACTTTAATTTTTCGGCAATGGTTCGTTATGAAGAGCAAAGATAAAGACACTTCACTGCCAAATTCGCATATGTAAGCATCGACTCACCAGCCGACAACATGCTAACGTGCTAACTCTGAGTTAGCCGGGCCTCAGTTGGGGAAAAGCTGCTCCTCACTTTATGTAGGATTCGTTCAGGTGTTTTAAGAAAATTATTATTAAATATATATATATATTTGAACTGGACAAGGCATTTTAGTAGACTTAATGTTTCCCGGCCTCTTAATGGAATACAGCCCATCTTCTGAATGACTGATTGCTTGGGATCACCTTTGTTGACATTTACATACCATCAGAACTAAATCTGGTTATAAACACATCTGGAATAACGTGATCAATCAAAGGTAAGCTTGAGAAAATACCACATTAATATATGTTTAAAAGTTATCATTTTAAGTCGTTATAATTTTTTCATGATGTTCCAACATCTTTTTCTTGTTTACATTATCTCCCAACCCATATTAACAATTTGTTTGAGATTACTTATTTGATAAAACCTTAAAACAAACTTCATTATACAAGCATTTTATCAAATGATTTGAACCAAACTCTCAATTTCTAATTCCATACAAAACAATTGGTGCTTAATGGTAAAGAACTTAAATCCAGCCTCTGGATAATTGTAGAACAACACTGTACTTCTTTGCAATGTAGACAGAAACCACCAAATTTGTGAAAACACTAAACATTGGTCATGCAATTGTGCTACTGGAAATCAGATGAAAACAAGATGCGCTGATTGACTGGCCAATGATGGAATTGCTAGGTGTTTGACGCAGTAAGCTCTGACCAATTACTAGCCACTCCGCACAAGTATTACTGGTTTTACAGCTGATCATTTTGCACATAAGTTCTGTCAGAGAACAGAAGAGGAAACTCCAACACACGCCCGCTGGAGCTAATATGTTGTTAGGTTGGAAGTTCTTTAGTGTGACTTTGTGCAGTTTGTGGGAGATGTTCTCTAATTACTTATGACAATAACAATTTTAAAAATGTTGCTTTTTTGAGCTGTCAAGTGTAGGAGTTTAAAATCTGCAAAAATCTATATCAGTAAGTTGCGCATACTGAAAAATGGGGAAATGGAATCAAATGAAAATTGCCATTGGTGCATCTGTAATTGAAAGAAGCACTCTTGTTGCTTTTACATTCCACTAGCTTCAACTTATCATTTGTTGCTCCTTGGTGTATGTAAAATCCTGCTCACATGATTTCTGGCTTTTTGTCGGGCAGTCTGTTCACAGGACCTAAGTCCTTTAGTCTGGTGTGTTGCTGTAATTGACCCACTGCTGAGAAGTTGTTACATTCTTTACACAGTAGTAACCCTTGTGTATGATACCACTATAAAAGACTTTTACATTATCATGGTAACTCTTCTTCTTTTTTCTTCATGTTTACTGTCTATCGTAGCAGCAGTTACAAAATAACCAAACCGAATAGTTTCTGAAATTGTTTTTTTTTAATTAGACGATAAACAGGCCAGCTGTCTGAAACACTTTAGGTTTACACCTTCCTTCAATGAGATACGATTTGGATACATTCCTAGATGAATTACTCACAATTTATGCTCTTAGTTGCCTTTGATGAAAGTGTTTTCTTGTGATGATACAGTACTGTCAAGTATCACTGTCAGTCATTGTGTTTTTTTATTATTATTATCTATCTGTTTAATTTTCTGCTCTCTGTTTTTTTTTTTTGTCTCCATAGATGATGTGTGAGGTGATGCCCACTATCAGCGAGGCTGAAGGGCCCGGTGGGGGAGTCAGTAGCGGTCGGCGGGGCTCCGGCTCCCCGTTGCAGTCAGACTCAGAGGGTCACTTTGAGTCTCTCATGGTGTCCATGCTGGAGGAGCGTGATCGACTTCTTGAAACATTGAGGGAGACTCAGGAAAATCTGGGTTTGACACAGGGCAAACTGCATGAAGTGAGCCACGAAAGAGATTCGCTGCAGAGACAACTCAACACTGCCTTACCACAGGTGGGAGGACGAGCTCTTATCTCCTGTGAATGATGTAGAAAATCTGTGTTTAGGGGAAGTCACTGGTTTTGGCATTTACTTTTTCTTAATCACACCAGATGTTTACTTTTTTAGGACTCAATGAAACCTAATGCAAATCGTTCCTAAACTATATGTGCCTACAGAAAATAATATCTTTCTGTTATGATTGTCCCTCACTCTCAAGTCTTGGTGTTTGGTGTGCCCTTTCACCAATGCTGGTAAATAAAAAAAGATAAACTACAGAACGGCTTACATGCATTTTGAATGTGTCAGGCTGAAATAACAAACAAAAACACCAATACGTTTGTGAATCACGTTTCCCGCCAGAGCCCTGACTGCATTTTTAGCTCAAGTGTCAGTGTCACTTTTGGCTGACAGCTCTCACAGATCTTTGGCCTCACTGTGGACAAAGTCGTACCAGAGTCCAGAAGAAATCCTTCTGTTGTGTTGCTTATTTTGTACTTACTTACTGAGTAACTGGGTGTCCAGTACAGTCAGGCATCCTAATATAAAATAGTTAATTAATCTAATTTATTAACATTATCACCAGACTGTTTTGTCATAATAGAAGTGACTGATTTTATATTATATTATATTGTCACTGCATTTGCTGGTTAATGTTGTCCTTAGCTGGAACTCCAAGGTTTGTTCATCAGCGTGTTGGTGTCTGTTATGTTTTGACTCATGTTTCCTAACTTACTGTGGTTTTAAGTTTACAACAAAGGGATCATGTTTCTGCCTTTTAATGATGTATAAGCAGCTGCTGACCAGCGCAGCCTCTTGTAGCTCTGGTTGAAGCAGCATCCAGCCTGTGTAGTTGACTTGAACAGTGGTTTACTTTTTCAGTTTAGATTTCATTTAATGTGTAGGTTAAAGGTAAATTCAACAATATTGAATTAACATTATTAAAAACAAAACCTGTTATGAATGTTTTCTTTTATACAATTTATGAACAAAGCAAACGTTTACTGTCACTTCATTCATCTTCTGACAGTTTGTCTCTCTTGATAAATCTCTGTTTTAATTCTACCAATGTCAGTCTCACCCTTAAAGGTGTGTCTCAGTAGATGCAGTGTGATCTCTTCAAGTGATGGAAAAGGCAGCTTGAGCTTTACATTCCACAAAGAACGTACCTCTACATAGGGAAATATAGATCAACTTAGTTTGGAAGTATTGCACTTTTTGGAGATGGAGAAGAACAACATGGAGTTGAAGTCTCACTGATATTTGAAGCATTTGCTTTGTTGTATTTTAATGCCCTATGAGACCCCAACAGGTAAAGCTGTGTGAGTCTTGCTTTATACAGTGAGCACATGATGAGTTGAGTGTTTTGTTCAGCTGTGGTGTTTGTGGAGACTCCCGGTGTGAGGGCCGGTGTAGACAGGTTAAGCAGGAGAGAAGCAGGTCTCTTCTCTTGTTCCCCCTGTTCTTGGGAACGTACCCTTCGACTGGAATGCACAAACATTCCAGAGCAGCTCACTCACACGTCAGCAGCTTCTCCAAATGCAAGCGCTGCTTTCTTGGATGGTGCCTTTTTTCTTTTCTTCTCTTTTTTTTCTCTGTTCTGTTTCTCTTGCTCTTTTTTTAGTTCCTGCATTATATTTTAGTGTGCTGGCTCTCCTTCAACCAGTTCTTGTCCTCTGGATTTATTCTCCTCGCCTCTTCTAGGGCCCACGTGCTGTGTTAAAGCCAGTTTTAGTGTGTCTCTGTTGGACATATTTCAGACAGAAAAAAGTTTGGCTTGCATTTGGCATTTTATCTTGGTGCAGGTGTGCAGCTGAGGGGATCCAGTTGTGTTGCTCAATTGCTGCGAGAAGGAAATGACTCTTGAAGTTACACAATTGCTTTGTTTCATTCATGTCTCTGTCATTGATAAATTTTAGTGAATAAGAACAAGGTTTGGACAAAGACTAGTCTTCACTTGACTGCTGAGAAAAATCCAACAAAAAATCCAACAACAAGAAACCCCAAACAACTTTAAAGAGTTTTGGTTGTTCTCAGTCAGACACACAGCTAAAGGCTTTTGTGTTTTCTCTGTGTTTTTATGCACTGTGCCTTTAATAGGTTGGCACACATAGTAATGTCCCTCCAATCCCTCCTCCCTAATCCCCTCCCCTGTTCTTACGGCCAGCTCAGGCCACTTCTGACCATCGTGTCACTCACCCGCTCTGAACCAGGCACCAGTTTCTCCAGTGAAGGGAAGGAAACAGGCTGCCTTCACTTGAAGGGAAAGCATTCACATGTCCAGCTGTAAAAATATTTTTTAAATGAAAACAGCCACTATAGATTACAAATTAGAAAGAAAGGTGTGAAATTAGCAAATTCCAGGAAGGTCCTGAATCTCAAAAGAGTCTAATTTACATCTGAAGGTCTCTCTATGAGTCAACCTCAACATCTGCCGTGGAATGTAGTTAGTACGCCACTCTGTAATTACCACTGGGCTGGCCTCCTGTGTACTGTGATTGGCCAGCAGAGAGTGGAGACCCTGGCAGCAGCCAATAGCCGACTCTGTTTGACTCCTTCAGATGAGCAGGGTCGATGCCAATTACTGGAGAAACTCAGAAGCTGGAGTGAAGGGAGAGGAAAACTGTTCTGATACAGTGAAAAACGATACAGTCAAATCTCCCACAGCTGGAAACACAAGTAATTGGATTGTTTGTGTAAAAGGGCTAAAAAATCAAGTTAGCACATTCTGGAGGTTCAGCCATGCGTGTACTTCGCAAAAGCTGCATGTGTACATACTGTACGTTTGCGTGTATATATAACTGCACCTGTTTAAAGAGAACTGGAGATGGATGTGTAGTTAATTTGAACCAATCAGAATAGAGAGCTAAAGTAATCCATCATATTTCTTTCAACTTCCTCCTGTTTACCCTGTTTCTGGCTCCCATTGTTGAGCAACTGTACTTTAAGAGAACAATCACACGCAGATGAGCACGGTGACAGGCAGACTGGGAGCGCTGTTGTGTCCACCTCCATTTTTGTGATGTAAACATGACCTTAGTGTTGCAGGTGTGGTTCACTGGAGGGGCAAGGGTAGAAGTGAATGATTAAAATGATTTGCCTTAATCTGTCATCTCAGTGATGTTCAAAGTTACACATTGGTTTAAATGTGTATAAATTCCCAGTTCAGGTGAGGAAAGCAGCTGTTGGTACATTAATAGTTAATAATAAAAAACACATTGCTGAGCACATTGAGAATTTAATGTCCTGTCTATGTGGCATATAGTAGAATTTCAGCACATTAATAATAAAAAGTCTTATTATTCTTTCAGTTTCTATTTCTTCACTTGAACAGTTTTACACAAAAGTAAATTTGGATTGTAGTCTTAACATTAACTTGCTGCTGCGTCCGCTTGTCTTGCAGGAATTTGCTGCACTAACCAAGGAGGTGAACATCTGCCGTGAACAGCTTCTTGAGAAAGAGGAAGAGATTGCGGAGCTGAAGGCAGAGAGAAACAACACAAGAGTAGGTGCCACGTGCACGGGATACGTGTAGGATTGTAACAACCAAACATATATTACACATTAGATTCATTACTAATGCTGGGAAATGTTTGTCTTGTACAAATCTCAGCCACATTCTTACAGGTTTCTGTTTTGGGTGTAGCTGGTTGTCACAACACTGGATTACAACTCAGTTTCTGTGCTCTAATCCAAACCATTGTCACAAGTTACGGGTGTTGCAAAATGCAGACTCGTCATAATATTTCAACCAGCGTTGATGAATTCCATAACAGACAGCTGTGAGACCTGTCAGACGGTTTTGGTGTTTTCACAGCACTGTCTTTGCCAGTGACATGTCAACTCTTTAAGTAAATCTCTAAGACTGAAAAAATAAATAGAATCAATACAGAATAAACAAGGATCAAGGTTCAAGATTTCTGTCATTCTGTCAACAGTTTTGTTGTTGTGTCATGAAGTAGAAGTAGAACAACTGAGCTTGAGACATATGTAACAAAAATACTATACGTGTGAAATATTAAAATACTGTACACAATATGTATTTATTTGCATATATATATGTGTGTGTGTATATACGTATCTATATATGTGCATACTTTTTACTTGTCTAACACATGCCTCCCTTCCAGTTCGTTATCTGTGAAATCAAACGCAACAATCGCAACTATCTGAATAAACAGCTAACATCAGATATTGTAACACAATGACATACTGACAGATAAAGCACTACGATATTATCAGTTCTGACTTAAAATAACTGTCTTCTCTCTTACTGTACTTCTAATCATTTTCGTCTGGTTCCTGTCCGTTGCTTTGGTGCTTCTAGCTTCTGTTGGAGCACCTGGAGTGCCTGGTGTCCCGTCATGAGCGGAGTCTAAGGATGACGGTAGTGAAGAGGCAAGCCCAGTCTCCAGCAGGAGTCTCTAGTGAAGTGGAGGTCCTCAAAGCCCTGAAGTCACTTTTTGAACACCACAAAGCCCTCGATGAAAAGGTACATGTTCAAGAAGAATTGAAGAATTTCCCTGTGCTTAGTGAATGGTCTGCACTGTACGTTGGTTGTTTGCTTTACCTTTGTTTGGCCTGATTTCCAGGTTAGGGAAAGCCTAGTTGTTGCTTTGGAAAGAGGCAGCGAGTTGGAGGAGCAGCTCACCATGTCACGCAAAGAAGTAAGCCAAATGAAATGGTGTTGGTGGAGGTGAATTTTCTACTTAGACTGGATCTACACACAAAGTTTGGAGAACATAGTAAATGCTGTTGCTTTAGTTCTGTGTTGTATTGAGCAGCCATCTGGTCTGGGACATAGAGAACATTGTTATTGAACTATGTCCATTTGGCTCAACGTTAAGTGGAGCTACAATAATTAGTGGGTAATTTGATGAGTGTTGAACCACTAATTGCAGTAAATCGGATATATTTGGTTTGTTACGTACAAAAGCAAGAGTTTTGCTCTGCTGATTGACATTTTCTACCATTTTCTGCATTTTATTGACCAAACACCACAACCAAAAAATGTTCAATTAAGAAATATATAAAGTCCTGGTTTCAAGCTGTTTAATTTATTAAATTAAGTTAAGTATTTTTTTACTATAATTAAATTAACTGCAGAAATGTGCAGTGAGAAATCTGAGGGTACCCAAAGCACTGAAATTCCTTCTGTTCCTTTAAGGTCAGTGCATCAAAGCTGCCCTGTGCATACGCATAAAAAAAAAAGAAGCGTTTCCAGTGGCTTGTAGATTGAATGAGATTAAGATTGACAAAAGGCCCAAAGGATCTTAGGAAAGTGTCCTAGATATCCTCTCTGCTTCTTGCTGCAGTGGTCTTTTGTTCCTGGAAGTCAGCCTGGAAACACGTGCACACACCCACACACACACAGATGCATGCACTTGCACATAAAGTAAATCACTCAGCTCTTTAGCATCACTGCTCCTGCTATTTTGTGGGACTCTGTTTTTGACAGTGTTTTCACAGTGAAGCCGTGTTTTGCTCCACTGCTGCACTTGTGTTCATTCAAAACCACTAAAGAAACAAAGCACATCACACGTATACTAAAAATCCACTTTGTTGAATGCTGTTGATTTAATAGTGTAATCTCGGTTATTGTTTTTGATGGTGTTTTTAGTCATCTGACTGATTCAACATATTATTATTTTTTTAAGCTGGCATACCTCAGGGAGCAGAGCATTCAGAAGCGAGGGCTGGCCGATGGAACCAGCGAGGTCAACCACAACTCTGAAAATACACCAAGCACAAATGGCAAGGTGAGTTCGAACGGCAGAGGTAGAAAAACATTTAAGAGCTAATTTGCTGATATACTCTTAACCTGGTCGTTTAGAAAAGAGGAAGCAGTTTAACATGTACAGTGTAGGTAAACATGAGCTTTTTACATAATAAACTCAAACAGTTGTGGCTGCGTTTAATTGCATTTTGACATTAGTGGGACTGAAACATTGATGGATGAAAACACAAGTTCTGTTGTGTCACACACAGCGGTCATCCGATGGTTCGCTGAGTCAGGAGGACGAGTCTTTATCTGGTTTCGGGAAGGTCGGCGAACTCCAAGAGGTGGTGGACCGCCAGTCGGCCGATCTGGGCCAGATGAAAGAGCGCATGGCTGCTATGGTGTCGCGTATTAACGAACTAGAGGAAGACTTGGACACCGCCCGAAAGGACCTCATCAAGTCTGAAGATATAAACACACGGCTGCAGAGAGACCTGAGAGAGGTGAGAACCACGACCCACCAACTATGAATGATGTAAAACATGTTTAGGAAACCTCTTCTACATTGATAGAGATTTTCACACACATTCAGCTGATGCATTTGTTCCTCTTTTTAATTTCCATGTTACACACTTAAATCAGGGCGTACAGTTTGCCTGGTATTCCATGCATGCAGAGCTAATAGCATGTTCTGTTCCATTTTATCCGTACTGTTCGATCTAAAGCTTCAAGCAGACAGACTCACATAGTCCACAATTAAACTTGATTTTGTTTTTAATTTAAACTAGTGCAGAGAGCTTGATTAAGATTTAATGTGCTGTATGAATTAACCTATTATGTCTATTTAACACTTAAAAGATACCGTATATGACCGTGATATTTAACTATATTTTACATGGTGTTAATAAATTGATCAAAACCTTTAATTATTATAATTTTTGTTTTTAAATAGTTTAGTTCTGTGGACAGAGATGTGATGTTTGAGCTTTTTTGACACATCTGTTCATGTCGTTCACAATTATTTTGCTCTCTTTCAACCATGCGACTATTGGTGTGTTTGCATGCTAACGCTTCTGCTGGTGTTTGTGTTTCAAGTCGTTAGCTCAGAAGGACGACATGGAGGAGAGGATCACTACGCTGGAGAAGCGCTACCTGGCGCCT